CAACTTTCACTGTGACACTTCTCTAACCAACACCCGAGGCCGCCCACGCATCTTGACGCTCAATCGATCCGCAGTTGAGAAGGCAGTTGTCCAGTGCCTGCGTGAACAGGCGCTACCTCATACGTCTCTCGTCTGAGTGCTTGTCTGAGTAGCCTCTAACGTGTCAGCAAGAGGGATTCGATTATTTGCGGCAGAGTTGTGCATCTGTGTGTTCGGGTAAACCGTAACGACGACTCAGTGTCGCAGACATGTCTGCGAATCACGCTGTCGGTTGGTGCCCAACTCGTAGAACTGGAAGACTTCAATGCGGTCACGAGAGCATGGCTTCCACGAACGCCTCGTCAACCGTGAATGTGTTGCGGAACCCTTCCCACCGGTGACTCGTTTCCGTCAACCTCCAAACACGCCGACGGGATTCCTTGCTCTCGTCAATCTGCTCCAGTGCCAACACGAAGGCAACAAGATGTTCCTTGTAGAGTTCCAGCCAGTTGGCTACATTAGCTTCATCGCCTCAGCTGCCACACCACACCCTCTAAGATGCTCTCTCGAGTTGGAATTCCACACCAAACGCGAGTCATCATTCCACCACAACTGTCGATCTCCCGTTGAAAGCCCCACGTGGGTTGTGGACTCTCTCGCCACCAAATTCTCCTCACACAAATTCGCGTTTTCAAGTTTGCAATGCAGAGTCGACGAAAAAGAAGAAGGCGGCGGCGGCGGCGGCGAATGAGCGTGTCGTCGCGGCAAATCTCGTGTGCCTGTCCAAGCCACGTCGCTTTTTGTCCAACCAAGCCGCCTGCCTTCGCCGGACACTTTTTTCGTCAACGGCGCAGTCAAATTAGCCGCAAGCGTTGTGTGGGAAATCGTAACTAACCCGTAACTCAATCACACTGCTGGTTTGTCGTTCATTGGGTGATAATGATCATGCGCAGACCTCGGCAAATCCCGTGTTAGCAACCAACAACCTCTGACCTCGATCTACAGCCTCATGTGGTAAATTAGGACGTTTTAACATTTTGGCATCGTAGAACGCCATTGGTTGAGAACACAATAGGTCGATTGGCGTTATCGATTTTTGAGAGATCCTGAGCTGTCATCGGACTGGTTCGTGACCTCGGAGAATGTCGTGTTAGCAACCAACAACCACCTCCGTTGGAATGCTGAACACGTAGGTGCTGACTCTTGAGCGAGTGTGTGTGTTCATAATGAGCAGACTCCTCATCTCGTGATTGGTCAGTGCACAAATTCGAATTCCACAGGTATTTTAATGCCCGCTGACGGATCGTGTGGTGCAATTGACCTCTGACCTCGAACTCTGTAGCCTCCTGTTGCAAAATTAAGACGTTGTTTTTAACCTTCTGGTATTGTACGACGCCATTGGTTCAGCACCCAGTCGATCGATTTGCATTATCGATTTTTTAGTGCGCATTTCGAGAGATCCTGGGCTACCTGATTTGCCTCGATACCGAGACCATGACAGCACTGCAACGCGCCATCGGACCGGTTCTGCGTCGCCTGTTGATCTTCGTCGGTGGCTACCTGGTGCCGGGTTACGTCCCGATCAATAACGTGGCCAATGAGGATCCGCCAGCCCCACCCAATCCCCCCACCGACGGCTCGATGACTCAGCACCAGCCAATCGAATCGGCTCCGCCTGATCAACACCGACGCGCCAATCTGGCCCTGGCTACTCTGGTCGAGTTGGCCAAAGGTCAGGACGGCGAAATGTCCATCGGACGCGACACGAGTAATGGTGCGTGTCTGTTGCTTTAAAAATTGTCCTTGTCTCTTGCGTCTTAGCTAAAAATTTAACCAATTTTGGGATTATTTAGGCCTAGGTAAACAATATACATGTGTGACCCCAAAACCCAAATTTAGGATGTCCGTTTTTGCGTCAAAACGGACTTATTTTCGTACGGCCAAATCTGGATTTGAACAAAAGCACACACGCGAATGCTCGTCATTTCCATCATTGACGTCTTTTTCTGTTCTGGTCTGATGCCTACTCGGCGTCTATAAGCCTCAGACCTCTTTCATTGGCTGGCGCCCCAGAAGGTCAAAGTCGTTCTCCTTTTCTATTGGGCTAGCCTGCACCAATGAGATTTGTGATAATTTAACGCGAAGCGCAATTGTGCTTAGGCAACATTTATTTGACCTGTCGGATGGGAAAATGACCTTTTGCCATATGGCGAACTGCGGAGGCAGTAATATCGTCAGTAAATTATGTTTCTGGCGATCTAATCTCCCACAAATACGGCGACAGTAAGACATCAGTCAGGTAATCGCACGTGTGGAAGCCGCATCGCTTGTTCACCTTCTTGCTCTTAAAAACATTGATCTTCATCCACCAAGGACGATTTCGTGAAATAAGGGAAGGCATCGACGCATTTTCCCGGGTTGATGGATCAGTTGGTTGTTTGTATGCTCCGACGAATGACCTTGAGGTTGTACTTTACTCGCCTGGCCCCGCGCCTGTTGTTTTTCTCTCGAAAGCGGTTACCATGGCAACCAGCCAGCGGTCGGAAACGCGGTTTTTTTGGGCTGTGCGCTGGTCGCCGCGTGTTTAGCTGAGTACTTCGTGGTGGGGACATTGCGACTGTCGATGTGTCTGCAGACAGGCTCCAGGAGCTGTCGCAAGCACTGGAGACCTTGTTTCCACGTGTTGTGTTGGCGGAATGGCTGTAAAAGCGGCTAAACCACCGCCTCCACAACCACCACAAGTACCGCTTTCACTTTCACCACCATCGCTTCAACACCACCACCACCACTAACACAACTGCCTTCGCTTCCGCAACCGCCACCACCGCCTCCACAACCGCCACCACCACCACCACTACAATTTCCACATTCATTTTCACCACAATCGCCTCAACACCACCTCTAACACAACTGTCTCCGCTGCCACCACCGTCACACCTACCACCAGTATTGTCACTGCGGTTTTTCTGCAGTCGAGTGACGTGTTACGAATAAAAAGAGATGCTTTAGCCTCGTCGTTGATGCCTATCAGCTACAATTTGGTCAGCCTTATTTCCTCGTTTCTCGTCGTTTTAAAAAAAAACAGTTTGCTCTCCATTAGACGGCTTTGTTGGTCCGCTTTAAAAATGGTATTTAGTTTGAAGCATATCAAATTTGAAAATGTCTCTTAAATCAAGCAATCAAAATTCGGCAAACGAAAGGAACGTCCTGATAGGCCCATTCAGAGGCTCTGGTCTGATTTTGAAGAGACTCGGCCAACGATCACAACGCTTTTTTGCTCATTGTTGACAAAATTGATTAGACAACATGCTGTCTTCAATCGACCCAATCCGTGAATTCAATGCCGCGCCAAATTTTACACGAATTTGATTGGCTAAGCCTCACTAGGATAAAACTGTCCGCTCATTGGTGAGGTAGAAAAAAACCCAACGTACTGAGTCCACTCGCGCGTAATTCAAAATGCACTGGCCTGGCGAACACCCAGTACTCACTTTTCAGACGCAGCGTTTTGCCGCGTCGACTCTCTTCGTCTATTGGTCGCCCCCGGCCAATCAGAAGCCAGGAGAAGATGAGTCACGTGCGCCTTCAGTGTAGACCGCTGGCGTGTCGTGCCTTTGCAGCGTGAGGACGTGGTTTTTGGCGCGCATGACTGCGCACATCTTGACAATCAGTTCTCACTATTCCTGATGCCTGTAATGGTCCTTTTTTAAACCAATTCTCGCTGTTCATGTGGTTGGCTTCAGCCAATGGCCGTTCAGACGCGAGAAGCTAAATTTTAGTTCAGTGTGAAAACTGCATCGAGTCATTGCCTGAGGCGGGAAGGCCATTTGCATCCAATGACAGTGCTGTCATGTGTCTTGTAGGCAGATTTTGCAAGCGGTCAAACTTTAACTGCGCAAAAAGCACTGAAGGCAACTCACCCAAGACATTGTTGAATTCCCAAAGCTACAAGCGCAACTGTGGTCGATCGGGTACGCGTATTTTGAACCAATTGCACACCGGCACGTCTGTGTGATTTTCCGACGACTTCTCAACACTAATCCTGTGATGCGTTGGTGGCGTTGAAAATGGCGACGAAGATGTATAGACGACACAACCGGTCCGATGGCGTGTTGAAGAGTTGCCATGGTCTCGGTATCTAGGCGAATCAGGTGGCCCAGGATCTTTCAAAAATCGATAACGCCAATCGACCTATTGTGTTCTCAACCAATGGCGTTCTACGATGCCAAAATGTTAAAACGTCCTAATTTACCACATGAGGCTGTAGATCGAGGTCAGAGGTTGTTGGTTGCTAATATGAGATTCGCTGAGGTCAGAGCATGATCATTATCACCCAATGAACGACAAACCAGCTGTGTGATTGAGTTACGGGTTAGTTACAATTTCCCACACAACGATTGCGGCTAATTTGACTGCGCCGTTGACGAAAAAAGTGTCCGGCGAAGGCAGGCGGCTTGGTTGGACAAAAAGCGACGTGGCTTGGACAGGCACACGAGATTTGCCGCGACGACACGCTCATTCGCCGCCGCCGCCGCCGCCTTCTTCTTTTTCGTCGACTCTGCATTGCAAACTTGAAAACGCGAATTTGTGTGAGGAGAATTTGGTGGCGAGAGAGTCCACAACCCACGTGGGGCTTTCAACGGGAGATCGACAGTTGTGGTGGAATGATGACTCGCGTTTGGTGTGGAATTCCAACTCGAGAGAGCATCTTAGAGGGTGTGGTGTGGCAGCTGAGGCGATGTAGGCGATGTAGCCGACTGGCTGGAACTCTACAAAGAACATCTTGTTGCCTTCGTGTTGGCACTGGAGCAGATTGACGAGAGCAAGGAATCCCGTCGGCGTGTTTAGAGGTTGACGCGAATGGCAGGCAGTGAGTCATCGTTATGGTTTACCCGAACACACAGACGCACAACTCTGCCGCAAATAATCGAATCCCTCTTGCTAACACGTTAGAGGCTTCTCAGACAAGCACTCAGACGAGAGACGTATGAGTCAGCACCTGTCCACGCAGGCGCTAGACAAGACTAGACGTCTTGCAGATAGCCTTCTCTGTCTCAACTGCGGATCGATTGAGCGTCAAGATGCGTGGGCGGCCTCGGGTGTTGGTTAGAGAAGTGTCACAGTGAAAGTTGAATTGTCCAATGAGAAGGTGGCGGTCGGTTCGAACCCAGAAGTTGGTGTGTCAAAGGCTTGAATGACATAGTCTTAATCTTTGGTGAGTTGGCGACAGTCGTTTCAGACGACATCAGACGAAATGCTGATCCAACGTTCATCTGACCGATGCAACAGGTGGGTGGGTGTGTGTGGTTTTTGGAGCCACCGACACGATTCGGCAGTGGGAAGGTCGGCTGACTGACGACGGTGCAAAAAAACTAGCGCGAATCCACCAACTCACGGTGGTGGTGGTGATGGTGTTTGTCAAGACGCGAGTGCACGCTCCATGAACTGACAAACAATCTCTCATGTACTCAACGACTTCAGTGTTATCGTCTGAGGTGGATCAACGCAGTGTCTCCTTCGGAGTCTCTGAAACGAATTCTTCTGACCTAGGCGCCTCAACAACCGTCGCACATGCTTTCCAAGCCGTTAGGCCTGTCTGCGACCTGGCAATCCTCAAAAGTACCAATTCCAGCGGTGTGGTGTGACGAGAGTTTGCAGCCGCTGTTGTAGACAGTCGGTCGTTTTTGCATTGGGCGCCACGTGACTGCACTTTAAACAACCACTCCAGGGAAGCAGCTGTCACCCAGACAACCGTCAACACAACGCCTTTGTCTCTGCAGCCTAATCCCGGATGTTTACGTGACCTTGAGAGTACAAAAAGTAGCCAATGTGGACGGCAGGGCTTTGCCGGCGATGCAAGGACGCGCATTGGCTGATTAACAGATGTAAATTCTTTCCTCTTGCTTAATTACTCTGCGAGTTTTGCATGTCGGTTGGTAATGCATTCTAGCGACTCCTGCTAGACAGTATTTCGACAAATAAAAATTGAATTTTCTGAAGAGTCTATAGTCCAATTCAATGTCCAATAACTTGAGGAAATCGGACCACAACTCGGGCATTCTGGGTCCCTTCAGGAACAAGCCGATTCCATGTCACCTGGAAAACGCGTGTATCGAAGTTTACCATCCAGGCACGCAGGTAATTAAATTGTCGTTCGAATAACACACACACACGCACGCGCACAGGCTGACACGAAGACACGTTCACACACCCGCCTGTGTGTGCGTATTGGGGAGGGAATTTCACACCCCACAACTTCCGCAGACACTGGACAAATTCAATTAGGCGAAAACAGGCTAAATCGTGCGGATTTAATCTGTGCGGTGGCAGAGCGTGTTTGCCGACAAGTTGAGGCATTTCCGCTTCCCCAAACCCCACCCTCCTACAGATCGCCACTTGTATTGACATCCTGATAAAAATCTCCACCCAACTGCGTGGTTTCGTCGTGGTAACGGTGGTGGGCCGACGAAGCCGCCGTTTCCACGAGGCAGAAATTGGAAGAACTAGTCAATCTGGCAAGATGCTTCGGCCAATGGCAAAATGGCTGCAAACAATCCAATCAACCAATCAATAGCGGACAATCTGCTGATTGGCTTGTTTGAGTCCATTGATGTCGTGACTGGGGATGTTCAGAAATCCTGTCTTCCCAACATGGCTAAGCACTGAAAACACCACTAGCCAATGAAAACAGGTGTGCAAACTTACCATTCAACCAATCAATAGTGGGCAATCTGCTCATTGGTTCGTTTGTGTCCAATGGAACATTGTCTTGTCGAGCATTCAATTATACTGAGATATTTAGCTCGATCAATTACTATCGCCATCATGGTTATCATCATGATCACCATCATCATTACCACGATTATCACTACCATCGCTATCATCATCTTAATCGTCACTATCGTTGTGATTATCGTGATTATTATTATTATTATCATCGACCGTGCAATAATGAGTTGAAAGTTTAAATTCGAATTCAAACTCAAGATTAACGAACCAGTAATGATCTGTGTCTAATTGAATTGGTAATATTGGTTTCAGTTTGGGATAAATAAGTAAGTAAGCTAACGATTAAAGTTAAACTCCACCAAAGTCAAAAACGCAAAATCGAAATGAACGATTGCTTTTGCATTGATCTGCGTTTAACGAAACATGGATCGGTTTGGCGTGGTTACAAATCTGCAACTACTTCGAAGAACGATGAAAAAAAATTGAGTAATTATTATCGTCATTGTCGTTAGCATTATCATCTTTGTCAATATCATCATCGTCAACATCTTTGTCGCCTTGAAACAGACGGTTTCACAAGAAGCCCGTGCTGGCAGATTGGAAAGCCGAGACGAGAGGTGCCTTCTAGGTAGCAATTTCACAATCGGGCCTTTCGGCTGGCACGGTCTTCCTCAGCCGCCATCTTCTCTAGATGTTGTTCCAACCGAATTGAGCAACTGAGAGTAGCAGTTAACGGCTATCAACAGACTCCACAGTTGACAAATTCACAACAGACAAACTGTCGTGGAAAACCTGTTTTTAAACCTAATGTGCTTCTTCGTGGTTACATTTTAACATCTTTATCGTTTGCCAAACTTTAGGGAAAAAATTGGTAATTCTAGCTCCTGATTGGTCAACCGAGAGTTACTTGAACCAATCAGAGGTGAGCACAGCACAAAAGTAGCCTTACCAGCGACGCGATGAACACCTCGTCCGCAGGGTCGCTAAGGAAGTACTGGATGAGTCTGAAGGACATTCTGAGAGACTCGGGGCCGAGTTTGTTGGGGGTCGAGCCCTCGGATTGGTGGAAGGTGATGGAGGGTGACCTGCGCGCCATCAGCACTCGACAAATGGTGATCTTGGCGACCTGGCGCAGCGCGCTTTGACGCACATGCCAGTAGGGCGAGATGATTCCCATGGCGACCTAGTAAACAGAACAACGACGACGTCATAGTGTGGTTCGGCTTCAAAATAATTGCACCTCCACGCATCCTACCTCCTCGGAAAAAGCCGATTTCCAGTCATCGAGACTGTCCTTCAGTCCAGGGATCACGTGGCTGTGGAGGAAGATGTTGTCGCCGTTGGAGGGAGCCAGACGTGTGGAGACGATGGCGACGCCAGGGGCCCATGACGACGCCACGCAATGCGCGTCTTCGGCACACCGGGGAGCTTGCAGTTTTCGTGCGTCGTCCGGTGGGTTGGTTGGGGTCAGAGCGGTTGTCCAGACTCGACCGCAGACTGGACAGTACAGGGAGCCAGTTTCTGTCTCGCATTCGTCCTGCCCTGCAATAGAAGCACTCTGGGTTCAATAGTAATTAACCACGTCCAAGTACAATGATTGGATCACACGTGGCGGGCACATCACAAGAACTGCAATTCGAGTAAGCCTGAACGACTGTGCAAACGACGAAGTAATGAGGAAGCAAGGCGAGGTGACTCATCCACCCGCCACTGGCCGTCTAGCATGCCTATTGCATGCTAGATGCGTGCAAACGCATCGTCAATCTCCCACCGCCAATGCTAAAAGACGCGGCGACACGACGTGACGCGACGCGGTCACGAATTTTGCGTCGCGTGTTTGTTTTAATGCGTAAAACTCACGTGGAACGCGAGGAGGTGCACCAACGACTTACTGGGAAGCATGTGTGTGTGCGAAACAACCACGAGACCAGAGCGGAAAAGCAGCGAAGAGGCTGATTTGTGCGCAATGAGGCGACAGGATAGTCTGGCTAGACAGCGATTTTGGTGGCGCGACAACCGATAATCGATAGAAGCACGTACGCACGGGCACGCGAGCACCAATTGAGTGCGCAAAGCGGGGCTACAACGACTCAAAATCTCATTGGATGACTGCATTGTGATCACGTGGGCTACCGCGAACAGGCACGCCGTGTTCTCATTGGTGCAAAGGTGATGCGGCCCAATCAGCGATCTTTGCCAATCCCGCCGACGTTATTTGGGGATCACGACCACTGGGTGCAACCAGGGTTTCCTCACCTGCTCCGTGTAACCGGTTAAGGCGGATTTTATCAATCAGATTTACTTTATTCAGTGGAAATGCATGCTACTTAATGTTTAATAGTAGACGTTCTTGCCGAAGACGGAGGCCGTGCGTGGCTCTAGCGATACTACTGAAATAGGACGAAGCTGGTCAATTATACAAAAAACCCCCACCACTCCGGAAAACGCGTCCAATCGCATCGGGTGATGGGGGTATGACTCATGCTAACTACGGCGGTAAGTGCTGCGTTACGCGCCCCAGATCGCGGACAGATGGTATCTGCCTTCACTGGGGCTTCAATCAATCCACGCCAATGAACTTCCGGAACCCTACACCGGCTGGTTTTTCTTCAAACCGCCCTCCACCCCCCACCAAACCCATCAAAACAGCCCCCGGGTAAACAGTTGTCCCTTGCGTTGACGCGACGTTCAGCAACCGTTGGATTGCGCTGACGAGCAAGTGGTGGTGGTGGCGATGTGACTCACTGGCTTTTCAATTAGCTGCGTCCATGCGAGACAACAAGCGCTAGTAACAGGCGGGGTGGTGGTGGTGGCGGCGGTGGTGGTGGGTATGTCCTTACACGAGCTCTCTCTCTCTCTACGCGAAAACAGTTGCGTGCGCGCAGATGGGAAAACACGACAGGAATAGTAATTAACTGACACCGGGGTGCGTCGAATTCAGCGTCTTGGAGATTTAACGGGGGGCGGGTGATTGAATTGAGCCCTTCACATGACATCGAATCGCGTTGTTTTAGTCGGCTAAATAAGCCGCATTTTTCGAAAAATTGCCGACACGACAACCCACGACAAGCGAAATGAGCGGGGTTCCACACCATCAACTAATTGAAATTCAGACGTACAGATGAGGAAGCAGGCCTGGTGGAAGCTGGCGACGCAATCGACGGAGGCGCAGACCGTGGTGGAGCCCTCAGCGACTCTCGCGAGTTCTCGAAGACAGAGTCGACAAACTGGGTGGTAGACGGACGATTCCATGCCGTCGGGACTGGCTGAACGACGCGGAAGGCCCGTGAGGGTGTCGTCGGCGGCAGAGGATGCGGTACCACACGGACCCACCGAAGTGCCACGCACGACGCCGCCTTGAGCCTCCTCAAAGCGACTGCTTCGACTTGAAGACGAGACGCCCTCGGTCTCCGGGTCAGTCTCCGGATTCGAACTCGGCTCTCCGATTGGTCGAAATGTGGTCGAGAGGGCGTGTCTATGGAGAATAGAGAAACACTTAAACTTAGTCAAAACAAATCGATTTCGACCAGTTATCTTTCATCATCCACCCAAAACATCGTCTCCCTGAATTGAGATTCGGGCTCTTAGATAACGTGTCTCAAAATCTGCGCAGTTTATCGACGGGAACCTGGTTTCCTAAATATTAAAAAAACCGTTTATTTAAACCATCTACCCCTCGTAAGGCTTATTTTCATCCCTGCCACCGATTGCTTGACCTTAAACACTATGAAGTAATACACGCCGTCACGAGAAATCGCGGTTCTTTTCGTAATTCGTTTCAATGTACAAGACCGCCAATAACGGCCCCTCAACAAGGTCAAGTGGACACGCGAAATAGCTTATTGGTTTTCGATATTTTATGCGAAACTATCTCTAATCTGATTGGTCTAATGCTGAGATGCTTGTAAAATGCATGTTTCGCAAGGTTTATCGATTTGAAACGCAGCACGTCGAAGCGCGCTGTTTTAACTGCGCGCGTAACAAAAACATCGATTTTTTGTCCAATCGCCAAACGCGCGGGTAGGGTGTCAAGACTTAATTGCGGTGACCACAGAAAACACAATGAGAAATTTTAGTTCATTTAGTACGACACTGGAAAAAGAATTTGTTTAAATGAAGAAGATAACCAATAACGGCACCTCCACAAGGTCAAGCGAACACGCGAAGCGGATTATTGGTTTTCGAGCTAAAATCGATATGCCACACAAAACCATCTCTACTCGGATTGGTCGAATGCTGAGATGCGTGTAAAATGCGTGGTTCGGTCTGAAATGCAGCAAGTCGAAGTTCGTCGTTTAAACTGCGCGCGCTACAAAAATATCGATTTTTGTCCAATCGCCAAGTGCGCGAGTTGGGTGTCACGACTTAACTGCGGCAACCACTGAAAACACAATGAGAAATTTTAGTTCATTTAATACCACTCGGGAAAAAGAATTTGTTTAAATGACAAAGATAGCCAATACCAGCCCCTCTACAAGGTCAAGCAGACACGCAAAATAGCTTATTGGTTTTAGAGCTAAAATCGATACGCTACGCAAAACTATCTCTAAACTGATTGGTTCAGTCTGGAATGCAGCGAGTCGAAGCGCGTTATTTAAACTGCGCGCGTCATAAAAGTATCGATTTTTTGTCCAGTCGGGTGTCTCGGCGCTAGACGGCTTAATTGCGGCGTCCACCAGTGTGGCAGTCACAAAAGCCGTTTGTGTGTGAGCACATCCAAACGACTTTCCGGTTGAGGGAACACACATGCGTGTGAGCGCACGCGTGCGCACGTGCGTGCGCCCCCACATTACTTTTAATTAAAGTGCCGTTCTTCACATAGCGAGCAAGCAAGCAGGCATGCATGAGGACGGCAAAAATGCGACACGTGGAGACAGGAAGAGGGTGGGGGGGGAGGTGGGGGTGAGGGTGAGAACGACTACGCCCCCCCCCGATATCCACTCTCGCATAAAACCCTGTGGACGCAACCACGACAGGTGAAAAGTGGTGGCCGATAGGCGATTCCGCAGAACGCTCCAAACACGACAAATACACCAGCCGAATGCCGCGGATTTTTGACATTCGCCAAACTCCAGGGCGGTGGCAGCGACAACTCTTGGGGGCACAGAAAAACCTGGCCAGGAGAGGAGGCAGCAGGGGGGTGCTTTTTCTCCTGCTGTTTCTCTCCGATTCCACCGAAGGATAGCCATTAATCACGCGTCAACAGTCCCTCTTGGAACTTGACAAAAAACCGGCCTTTTTTCCATCGCTTAGTTGAAGTAAAACGCCGGCTCTACTCAGTTGGGAAGATTGGGAAGATCATGGTGCGCCAAACGTAAACTTCGTACCAACCCAGTGGATAATTCAACCAGTCAGATTTACAGACTTCACCAAATGCCTTTGTAGACGTCAAAACACTGAATTTATGCGACATTAAGAACGCCCATTAGTAATTAGCACTCAACGCGAGGCAATTAAAACCCGCTATCCAACTAACCAATCCCAGAGCAGGAGTTCAGAGCGTGCGCCTTATTCCTTTGAGGCCCTGACTTTGATTGGTAGGCTTTTGTTGTTTTACTGGACTGTCGCTCCTGATTGGTGGTCGCTTCGATTAGTTACAAGAGCCCCAAAATTGAAATTAATTTAGCCGCCAGCATCGTTATTAGTTTAATAAAACAATAAAGTCTTGTGCGAAGTAGAGCTCGCGTTAATATGCGTTTTAACTCAAACACGCAACTACCAATTAGCAGAAAAAGAGGCCTTTTTTCGGAGGTAAAACGAAAGGCCGCGATTCGCAAACTCTACACAAGCAAAACACGAAAAGCATGTCCACTTTTGAGTGTGTTCAGCACGAGATATCTGCACGGCATTTAACACATGGCAATTGGGTAATTTTTGTCCTTCAAAAGATCTTATTTCGTTAAAATTCCGACGTCTGGCTGGTCGTCAACTCAAAATACACGCATTTGATTGGTATTCGTAGTATGAAAAAGTGTTAGTTACAGCCTACGCATGTGAATTGGAACATTGTCGAAACAAAGCCATTTCCGATTGAGAAAAAAACCCATTCCAACAATATCGATAACTTTGGTGCTGTTTAAATCGATCACTACACAGCCCGCCAGAACTGACCTGGCGGAAGTGGAATTCAGCATCTCAATTCTCGACCCCAGTGTCTCGTAGTAGGCCTGCGGTTCGGTTTTGGGCCGCCGATCGAATCTGAATGTGCCACCACACGAGTCATCACCTTCGCTGCCTTCTGCGCGTTCCGCTGCACCGCAACCACCGCCGCCTCCGACGCCCCCACCGCCGCCATCACCGCCACAGGAGGAGGACGAGGCGTGCGAGAGACATCGTCGGCACACAGGGATGGCGTCCGCGTGTCCTGCGACTCCGCGCGACGCCGGCTCGATGCTGCGCGTGATGGAGGAGAGCTCGGAGCACTCGGAGGAGCCAACGGAGGCGCGGACCGCCGCCAGAAGGCAAGGGTTCGGACCGACTGCGCTCAGCACCACCGGCCGGGGCATGAATATCCGCGCGGCGGGGTTGGTGGCGGTGCCGGCGGACGTGGTCGTCGAGTCCTGATGACGCGAGGCCCCGCTCGCGCGGAAGTTTGAGGCTCGGAGACGCGCGTAGCGTTGAAGCAGCGGCTCAACCTGAAAGACGTCGTAGAGAGGACATCACGCCACTCATAAGAGAGCACATTTTGCCACCGAAATTGCCAGGAGTCGCCGTGTGTGCGTGTGTGGGGGGATGGGAGGGAGGGTGGCGGTAAGTGGCATTATTTATGACTACTACGGCTTCAGCTCAGCACGAACTGCAGAGCACACGCAAGCATTAATTATTACCGAATCTCTCTTCCCCAGGGCCATCAGGAAAAAACGCTCAGGGGTGGGGTGGATGAAATGTCAGATTGGGTGACGGGAGTTTTCAAGTCGACGAGGTGATTCACAACTCGTGCGCGGGAGGGGGTGGGGTGGCAACATCGACAAAGTGGTTTCTCGCCTGCCAATCACAAACATCGCATGTGTGGTAGGGGTTGAGGGGGAAGAAGTCTCATCACCGAAATGGTGTCTTCGCCGACAGGAGTAAAAAAAACTGAACTGAACAGCGTGGCGCTTTCACACCGAATTACACGGTACAGAGTTACTGGAACCACGCGTTGATGATGTCAAGAGAGGATTTGAATTGTGTCGAACACTTCTACAAACAATGCCTTCACGCTGACCCGAGCCCTGGCCCACGCTAGCAGCAAATCGAGAGAACTTCCATAGACAATTGTCTTGTTTGGCGATAAAATCTGGCTTATTTTTTGCAAGATAACCGACCTCTTCTAGATCCAAATCCGACTTTCTAACCAATGACGCCAGAAAGTTTGAGAAAATGGCATGGCAATTTCGTGCGCGCGCAGAGACAACAGACGCACATTGTTTATGCCAGGCAGCGAAGTGGTTAAGGTCACTTTCCCAGTGAGGGTTCAAATGTAAACGGCGATTTGACGCCTTTGTCTGCCGGCGCCAACGATAAAGTACACACGCACGCGCACACACGCACCTAGACTGGACGCACAAGCGTCAACGAATTATCACAACTGCCACAAACAACAGCAGCTGACGACAACGACGACGCAACTGTGAAAAGGACATTGACTTCTACACCACTCCGTCATGCAGGCCGATGGACACTCAAGAGAGGATGTCTTCTACAGTGATTACCGGCGACTGATTCCTCATTCTTCGATGTCTAGTCTCCACGTAGAAGTCCCTACGACGTCGGACGGTGCACAATGTTGCTGATTGAGCATCAGGAATCACGCATCCATCCAACCTCTCGAGGTCCAAACCGTGGAAAAGACAGCATTTTCGAAGTCAAATAAGGTTGCACGAAGGTACAGTTAGTTGAAGGAATGCATAGTGAAATGATGGAGCTGTAAAATGTTTGGACTAAAATAAATCAATAAATTAGCCTTATCTGGGGGGGGGGGTGGAGAGAGAGTGGAGAAGGCAACAAGTTATCGCGCGCACAGAACACACCCAAAACCCACGAAACACGACCGGACAGGTTTCGGGGAGTTAAACGCGTCGTGACATTTCGTTGCCTGCGCGTAGCACCGGCCTAGGCGTGGTGAGTCATGACCTGCAAGTCCTCGATAGGATTGCGCGCCATTTTGTTTCAAACAATTTTTGCATAAGTCAGCGCGGGAATGGGCGCGTGCGGGCACGCACACGGAGGAGTAAGCGATGACACCGAAGGAGGGGAGGGGAGGGGGGGTAAATAGCACATTAGGCATGGGAGGGAAGACTGAGGTAGCGGATGGTCTCGGACACCGCCACCCCGGCCTCCACATAACCGTACAAGAATCCAAAGTGGTTAGGAGCGGGATCGGAACGCACCTCATAGTTCTCTAACCGCGGTCGAGCGATCCTTGGATCTTCCAGCTTCAGGCGAAGCACTCTCAAGAGGACGAAGAGGGTGTGGGCACAGGGAGACCGGGTGGAGGCTGGACAAATGAGTGGCTGCTCGGAGCACGTACACCCGGGAGAGTGGCCACCCAGGGTGACGCGGAACCTGTGGCGTTTGCCGGTGGCGGGGGGTGCTGCCGTGGAGGTGTCCCATTGGCAGGCATTGACGGGGCTCGGATCGAGGACGATGAAGGCGTTCGGCGCGGGTTGGTGGAGGAGTAAGAAGTTGGCTTGGAGTGCACGCGCCACCTGCTCCTGGAGGCTGGCGGATCGATTGAACGGGGCTGTCGTTGGTGGTGTGCCCGTAGACGGGGTGTTGTGACAACCAACCATCGGCCTGAAAGTAGAGAAGTGTGGGTCTGCTTACGTTGGCACAATTTGCACGTGAGTAATGCTGGCCTCTGTTTAGCGTCAGCTGCTCCCCAAGGCTTGTTGCGTTCCCTCAGATTCGACTAATTCCAGGACATAGGTTAAAACCCCTAGGTGTCCGGATTTTAGGTCAATCGACGTTTATGGATTGGTGGTGGGTTGGGGGGAACACTGATATTGCAAACAGATGGCAGTAACGATGAGTAAACGATAAAATAAAAAGCAACACCTTCTAATCAGAGTTGGCATTAAGTTAAGTGTGTACTTTAATTGATAAAATAGCGAATCATTCGCCAAGACATTAAAATATTGATATTTAAAAGAAACGGCCTAGACAACTTAGAACTGGAATAAAATTAATGACAACATGATACTTACTTCACTTTAACATGGCAAAACAGCAATGAGAAGGTAGCTAAAAGGAGAAAAATTAAGGGTTACAATAAAATGGGGTTATTGATTGAAAACAAAATGACGAGAGCCGAGAACAACACACGAAGAGCGTAATAGGTTCAAAAAATATACACCTAAGTTTAAAAAAATCCTGGATTAGACCGATCTCATCAACAACTTGGGAACACAAAAACATACATCACAAAACCAGGATAAAAGGCAAATCTATCGAAAATCACAAAATGATATTCATACTTATAATAAAATTAGCATCCTACAATGAAGTGATCGTGGTGATAAGTTAGGCGACATTATTCAAAAAAACTAACCTGCGTGTATATGTTTAATATGAAAAATCACACGATGAAGCTTGCTGAGTACACATGAAGGACTAAGATGCCAAAAACCGGAATTTAATGAAAGCATAGCTGCAGATACTCATAGTACGAATTACCACAGGGTTCCTTCGGGTGGAATAAAACCAGTAAAACGTTCTAAATGGTCAGAAACACGACGACATCGCGATGTACGAAAAACGAAACAATTTGAATAATCAAGTAGCCTCGCTGTACAACGTCAATATATGTTAACAAGCGTTTGCGCACATGTATTTTCGAATTAAATTAAAAAAAGCCTTCAATGAAGCACGAAGATCACACGAATGAATAGTAAAGATTAGTTGTTCTTAGAAATCACAGAATCAATGACGATCAAAAAAGATCATTAAAAACTCAAAACTACGAGCTTAAACATTCCAGTCTGTCTGTAACTAAATTTTTCTACACATCCCAGAATTCACAAAGGCGCACTAAAGCCAACTTACACTAAACCAGTGGGCACGAGAAACAACGGTAAGAACAAAGTGTGGTCAAATCAACTGGTGCGCACTTTCTGAGCCAAGGTCAAGTTAGTTAAATAAAGGCTTGGTAAAACAAAAAGATTGCCTTACACAGAATACAAATAACTGGCCGACACAGTGCAAAAACATTTATTTTTATAAAATATTTTTGCGCCATATTTTATAGCAAAAGATGTACAAAAATTCACTGCACATTCATTGCAATAACAGAATTACACATTATATTTGGATAACTACTTTTAAAGGTTGCATATTTCATATCACACAGTGGTATTTTATTAAACTAAATGATCACTTTGATGCCTAGATATTGTTGTCTAGTTTGGCTTCGGCCCTGACCCATTTTGGATCACACGTTGGACTTAGGGTTTCTCATTTTAATGCGCGCTTTCATGGCCCACAAATGTAAGCAGCAAAAATTTGAACTCAGACATGCATAACACATTTCGACCAAAAAAGCTGATTTTTCATTAAAGTGGATTGAAACAGTTGGATGCCTCTTGCCGACGGTGAACAACTGTAGCGTGCATTGTTTACTTTTTCAACTTTTGACAGACCCACATTTTTATAAACAAACTATCAATTAGGGAGAGTCTCTAGCTTATTTTGTAGCTAATAAAAGACAGCTTAGGAACAAGTATCTAAAGATTATAACCTACTTATAGACCATTCGGTCTGGCGCTCTGCGAAGTTGTTAAAATCATAATTTTATGGCATTATTCGCGATTCCTGAAATTAATTTTTCGTTTAGGTGATACTCGCGGAAACTTTCTTGTGAAATACCGCTTAAAACTAAACATCTGAATTTGAATATTTGGCATTTGGAAATTTTTAGGATCAATTTAGTGCCAATTAGACGCCATCATTAATGCTTTGAACAAAAGCCCTTTGATATAATATCCTGAATAAAGCAATAAAACTTAGTGGAATTAAACCTTCTTGGACATTCAGTTAATCTTCAGTCATCCCCTTTTTTTAAAAAACACATCATTTTTAAACAAAATTGATTCAAATCATTTTAGCGGTTTCGTATATTTCTCTGGCTAACTTCCATCTATTTTGGCGGCGATTATGATCATGATCGCATGCAATTCCGATCATTTCCTCGTTTAATTCCTGATGAAAATTCCGTCTGCGAGTATTACTTTCTGGCACCTCGATGAGTTCTCGACAAGCAAGCATCATAAAATTTGGTCGCCTAATATACATCTACTTCTCCCTTATCTCTAGTCCTTTCAATAGTGCTGCGTGTCCGTTCACGAAGCGGAGGACGTCAAACGGTCAATAAGTCCCCTTCAACAATCAGAATGGCATGCCGTCTCTAAGCCACAACGAAAGCGCTAGAATGACGGTAGGTAAAATTTAAAATTCTAACAGCATGAACAACGACGCGTTTTACACAAAACAAATGAGAAGTGTAATTGACTAGGCACTGGCAGTTGGTCAGGCAGGCACTTAATCGTATCTAAGCAAATTTGCATATTTACACAGAGAGAGACGCAAAACGCGACTCGGAAGCACAAATCAGAGGCTTCGACTACGCGAGTGCCGCGAGGCGGACGCGATGGGTGGAAATTGCTGGTAGTTGGCGCCATTCTGGAGCAGCGGTGGATCGGTCTGATTGAGTGCATTCGGAGGATCGAATTCAGACGCGGAGAAGTTTTCACTGACGGGGATCCGTGAACACGATCGAAGCGCCTGGTAAATTAAAGGGGGTGAAAAACGGCAAGGATTAACATCTTCGGACCTTGAAGCACTTGGTGGAAGCATAAGGAACAGGCGAAAACCCACCATGAGCAGTCCATCAATGAGAGGTTGTTGGTCCAATTTCGAGACACCTTCAGAGGTCGCGAAGCGCTGGTCGAACACACTGCTTCCCCCCTCCTCCTCAGTGTCCGTGTCGGCTTGGCCGGAGGGGGTGTGGCGAGGGGAGCTGGGGAGCGACAGAGAGGGACAACCCTCGCCAAACTCGGCGGTGGTTGTGGTGGATCCTTCGGCACCTACTCCTAGACTCCTAGACGCGGAACGCGGCGGGTGCGGTGGGGGTGAGTTGAGCCACTGGCCGAGGCGTCGCGACTCGTGGATGCGATTCGAGATGGCCTCGAGGCTTCGCATTGTCTGCGTGTAGAGCCGTTTGTTGGTTTTGAGTCCCTCGGTTAGTTTGTCAATGCGACGCTTCGCGTCCTTGAGTGGAAAATGGAAGTACGTCCAGTCAGTTACTAGGACTGTCGAAACCGCCGCCACGAAGCAGCCAATCAAAAGAGTTTGTGAAATCGACACGTCATTGGAGGAACCCCACAGCGAAAGCAAATACAACAAAACTGGAGTATGAAGTAGAGGTTTCATGTTGGTGAATAATTTACGAACGCCATTATTTTCATCCACTGTCTATCGACACTTGGAAGGACATTAACCACGCCTGCGAGATCTATTGCCTTGAGCAAACAAAACACACTACAATTGACAGCTCGCCTACGTTTCTAAAGGGGTGATTTAAAACGGCTCAGTTACCGCGCCACACTTAACTCCTCCCCGTTGTTTTAATGTTCTGGTTTGTTCGTTAAGCGCCAATTCATAAATTAGCCCACCAGGCATGAATTAACCCGTGTCTCACCAACTTCTCTAATTCATGTTTCTGCCAAATGAGAGGACACCTGTGATGATTAGGGACGGACCAATCAGAGCACAGGTCACGAGTGCAAGGCGAATCGAATTCGGAGGGATTGGAAGGCGTTCAGGCCCGCCTGTGGAGGCGTCGCCGGCTGATTGGTGAGTGTCTAAGGATCCTTTGACACCAGTACATCGTCAAACACATGGCCCCCTCACGTGATTAAGATTAAAGTCGACCAAGTCGATGTTTGTTTATTCGAACGCACACACACATAATCGGTGACTGGTGCGCATAATCACGACCATCACGTTGTGGTTAACCAACGGACTACATTGAATTATCACACGACACATGAACATCAGCGGTGTGACCCCTCGATTAACGCTGATTGGCTGGACCGCAAAATCGATACGAGGTGATGCCGATTTGAAAGGACCTTCTATTGCGAGTGCTTTTATAGAGGACCAAGTGAACCGGAGATAATCACGATACAAAATCACACCAGAAAGTAGCATGGTGTCAACTCACCTCCATCCTCTGATTGTAGAAGGCCTTCGAATCGAAGTAGGGTCTAAAATAGAGTGCAAAAAAGACACGTAAAAGAAAATTCGCCACACCAGGGAGCACGTTACATCCCTAACTAAGTCCATCCACCGAATTCCCGCAAGGTTGCTGTGAATCGTGTTCATTCAAACCCCTTAATCCGGTCACTCCAACCTCCGACACAGGGTCCTCCTTTTCGCAGCATATCGCCAGCCGCTCGAATCCTCAACTCCCCCCTCATTCGCACGAATATTTACTTTGGATTATCCTCACACCTAGGTCTCGAAGTCAGCGCATGTATGACTCACGCATCCGAGGTATTATTACACACGCGAGAATAACACGGCACCAACGTGGCTGAGCTCTGAAGTAAACGGTTGTGTCCGCGTCCTCTCTGGGCTTTTTCTTCAACGCGGATATCAGGGAAGCGTAATCGGGCCAAGGTTAGTTCCGTGGCTCCGGCGTGGTCCACGACTACATGCCGGGGCCCACAACAACCTGCTCGGACCAATCACCGATGTCGTCGTTAGTTGGGTTTCAGCACACCGAATGACAAGTCTACGTGAGCTACACAACCTCTCACCTCTGACCTCTTCGTTAAGTTTGTTTAATTGTCGGCTGTGGCGTTGCGCAGTCACCGTTCGCAATAAGATCCATCCTTCACACAGAGAAGAACCTTCTTCTTCAAGTGGATGTCCTGTTTCGGCGTCGATGAACGCGGTTGTTGCCCGGAATCTGCGCACGAATCTTGTGCCCGGAATCTTGTGACACTATTTTACGTTTGGAATTCTCGTAACAAAACTTTCCTTTTCATTAGTCATCACAATTTTTCACAAGAAGTCCATTCACCGCCTGCTGCCGACGGGAAAGCAGTGGAAGTCATGTACTCAGACGTTGATCGAGGCTGTGTTCGGTCAACACATGTGGGGGACCCTACTTCCAAGTTTTTGAAATTTTTCCATTTGGTAGTGCAAGCGCTTAGTGCAGACGCTGTTTGGTTGCCATCTTTGATTACGCAAAAAAGACAACAACTTTTGACAAGGCTACCTTCTCCCCCGACGCATCTAGTTGTCTGTCAATAATGCGACTATGGCACAAGCACCAGTCGCGTTGCCTATGCAAATCGGGCACGTGCTTTTGTGTGACACACAGCTGCGTTCGAAAATGGCAGAAAAAAACTAACGGGGAGCAATCGCAGCCAACGCAAGACGAGGCAGACGCGGTGAAGACAGAATTTCGACAGGAAAACACGCAATTGCGGGGTTTAATTTATGTGCAGTCACTGAATTCACTTCTGAAGAGATTCCAGTCGACGCAAGGCAACACCACCGACGACGTAGCTGGTCTCTGGTTGGTTGACGAGATGTATACGCCGTTTGTCAGCACGTTTTGACAGCGTGGAAATTGACGAAGAGTGACGACAATTATGCGAGAGAGGGAGGGCCGACACGATTGGAATCCAGCTTGTCTGGCGCCAACTAGCCATTGGCGCCACCTAGGCACCGATATTCGACCTAGTTCGGCGTGTATAGGGGGACACAGTGATGTCCTTTAAGGATATATGAAGTCGAAAGGACCTTTCACACCGAACCGACTGTGTACTTTTAAAGCACAACCGACCTGCATACTAAAGTACGCGTTTTTCTACACTGCCGAATTATCTGTGCGAGGGGCGTGGGTTGATGAGACTAAAATCCGACGATGGTTTCCCGGACTGCACTGGTGACCAATCAGAAGACTCCGTAGACAGCCAATCAGAGTGCAGAGCCGAAAGGGCTTGGTTACGACGCTACGTCGTTCAAGTGCGCACACATTTCGATACCACACACACATCTTCACACAGGCACACACTCCTTTCACAAAATTTGCGTTACTAATTACTCGAGTAGAGCATGACCTTGATTTTGCGGGGTGTGGCCAATGGCGTGTAGATGGGAGCCCACGCAAGACGTCAACTGGCAAAATTTGGGTCGCAGTTGTTTTCCTAACGATTGCCAGTTGAAGGGCACGTGAGGTCGCCAGCGTGAATTGCTTAACAGAATACACACGTGATGATAATTCACTGAGAGTTGACCGACGAATCATCATTACTAACAAAACAGATCAAAGCAATGATCACGATCCACGCGTGATACACCGGACTGCCATAATGCACTTATTTGCTGACAAGTGTTTTTGGCTTCGGTTCGTCCGCAAAATTTCCAGCATGTGAGACGCAAAAACGCGTCTTTTAAAAGAGATTGTTGTGAATCGTGTTTATTCACACCCCTCAATCCGGTCGCTCCAGCCTCCGACACAGGGTTCCCCTTTTCTCAGCATGCCGCCAGCCGTGGGGATCCTCAACTCCCCTCTCATTCACACGACTATTTGCTTTGGATTATCCTCACAGCTAGGTCTTGATGTTAGCGCATGTTTGACTCACACATCCGAGGCATAAATACACACGACACAAAGATGTCCTCTCCGATCTTTTTCTTTATCGTGAGTACTAAGGAAGCGTGATCGGGCCAGGGTTAATCCCGTAGCCCCGGCGTAGTTCAAGACCACATGCTGGGGCCCACAACAAGAAGTTAGGAGCCAAATCAACGTGAAATTTGGTCGACAAGAAGATAACCTATCGCCATCTGGGGTCAGTGGACACGGCTGGAACGATGGTGGCGTGGAAACCAGATTGATTTTGAGACACCCATGGGCATGAACCAAGCTCCCCGCAACGCAGTAACACTTGTACTAACATAGGCGGTACCAATTAGTGCATTTTAACTGAAGGAATCAGTGAGCAGACAGTTAATTTGCGGAATTTGCGATGCTGAAAGCGCTGAGGGGTCACGGAAACTGCGAAAGCAGTTCGAAGAAATCGAAGGACAGTCGTCGACACACACACACGCACAAAAAGTTCAAACCACTGACCTTCTGTGTGGCGTGGGTAATAGGTAACTGCGAAAACTGATTTACTGAGCCTCAAACAAGTTGACCTCACTACTGAGGCAATAATCACGAGAAACGCCAAATTCTGCTTGTCCAACAGGGGTGAAACCAACTCAACCTCATGATCTATGTCAGCTTTAGCAGGGTCTCACATTTGAAATTTCATCAACTGGAAATCCAGCAAAGTGCGAAACTCCCGTGGGAATGAATCATTCCGCTTAGAACATCACACATTCGGTGGCCACATAAAAGCACTTTAACCGTGCCCGAAACACGGGTACTACCAAAAACCCTGCAGTCAAACAATAAACATTTGCTAGCCGGTGTGGGGCCGAAATTCGAGTCGATTTGACGATCAACTTTCACCCAGTTAGGCAAAGTACTTTGGAATTATTGAGTGCCTATGCAAAGTTTAATCTTAAAGACAGGATTGTTGCCGAACTAAATCCGATTTTGTAAGCAAGACACAAACTAGACGCCACAGTAACTAGCGGACTCGTGAGCTCATTAATAACCATTTTTTGCTCATTAACTCTAAGCAGAAGCTGATTTGTGAGGAAAAAAAGCATAAAAATAGGATGACTTCACTTACTGAGACCTCCGGATGGCTGTGCCAAAGCGACTGCGATAACTTCGAAGATTGTCATCAACAGAAGTGCATTGTGAGAGAAGGCATTCGTGTTTCTGTTGTAAGCCTTTCAGCTTAGTTTTAGTGATGTTAACCTACGATTAAAAAGAATTTAAAAAAGAAGATTTTATTAACAGTGACAACCGCGAACAGATAGAGCAATCTTTAACACAAAGCAAACACGTAACATAGCAAAGCATCATAGCCAACGAACCTTTTCAACGGCTTTATTGACTTCGTCTAGGTCGGATTCATCACTTTCGCCAAATCTGGCGACGTTGGCGTTAAAGCAGTCCAAGATGGACGCTGCGTCATCGTGCTCAGACTGGGCGGCTCTGTAGTCCTGCGAATTTAGTTGTAAGTCCTGTAGCAACTGTTTCCTTGTTTTCAGAAGGTCAAAATAGGGTCTGGCCTTTTCAATGCTCGGTTTCAATTTCTTACAGTAACTGGCCAATGTTTGAGTGGCTTCGGTCAAGAGTGTTTGATAATCCCGACGAGCATTCTGCAAAGTTTAAAGTCAACGGAAGGCATACATCAAGATTGACCTCCAATTGATTGATCAACGTTGAGGCATGGTTCAGAGTGTTTAAACGAGCCTGGAAAATGTGGATATTCCATAAATATGCTTACTTGGACGTCATCTGTGATAGCTGCAGGGACAATATCAGAGTCAGAATCATTCATTAACCACGCTGAGTGGGGAGTAAAATTACAGGCGTCAAGGTTGTAATGATTAGAACCTAGATTTATATCTTCACGAATTATACACACAATTGACAAGCGACGACACTACTGAACTATTCAAAGTGAGCGGGCGTGCGGTCGTCAAACCGGATTGGTTTATGAAAACACATGTTCTTTTAATCACGGTTGTGGCAAATTAAACTTATGCATAAAATTTTTTTCACAACTATAACACCTTCAGATTCTTTATTAATAAAGTATCAAGAATTATTTATTATGTAAAATTTTTATTGTTTCATTTATAGATAATTAAGCAATATGTCAACACAAATTTCTTAACCGGTGGTTAAAGTAGCCATGTCTCTTATCTAAATATTTTATTAATGTCGCAGCAAGATACCACTCGAATTATAGTATTGCGTGCTCGAAATTACTTTTTTGTTCTTGGCACATAATATTTAAGTATTTTAACCATGAAACTAGTGAGTAATAAAAAATCGATTTGAAAAATACCTTTTGTATTTTATGTGCCATGGTACCTTTTATATTTGCACAAGGTCAGATTTTGGAACATCGAAATTCGTCGCTTTAAATTTTATTGGTAAATCAGTCATATTATAAGGACAAATTTCTCCTTGTGGTTTCATAAGCGCCTCTTTTGCTTCATATTTGCCCCACCTGTCTCACAATTTATTCGATTTTGGAATGCCTTCGCATTCGGTTTTGTTAGCCAGTTATTGCTACTCTTTCTAGTGAGTAATAATGATTTTGCGATCGAAAACATCTCTTCTGTTGTTCCTGCTCGACTAGGTACCAGCAAATAATTTTTGAATCACCTGTTGCACTCCAAACTTGCTATATTCTCTTTTTTAAATGTAGACGCAATGTAAGTTTGAATGACCTTGGAATTAACCCATAGAACCTTAAACGGCATCAACATCCGCCTTTCATTTAAACTGCTCAAATTATCCACAATGATCATCTCCAATTAACCTCCACGTCAAAATGTCAAAATTTGTGCTCAGTAAATGCAATAATTTAATGGTCCTGCGGGCAAATTTCGCTGGTAACATTTCATTTCCTTGGGGATATCGTCGTTATGATCTTAATTGCAAGCCTAATTAGCCTTCGTAATGGTCCAAATTTGGTTGGCTGAGTAAAAACCCAATCATGCGTATCCAATTATAATGAAATTGCAAATATCTGCGAAAATGGATTCTGGACAGTTCATGTCAGGGTTGCCCAGTTAGGTATCTGGTCGTTATTTCAGAAAACAAATGAATTTCTTTTTCCAAAATCTAGTGTTTTCGAAAGAATCAGTTGCCCGACTGCAGAGGCCATGTTTTTTCTCAAAATCAATCAACCAGAAAAGCGGAGGGTTCATTAAAGTCCAGTTCAGTTAACTGGAAATTTAATTAAACCGAAACCCCCACCTTTCCCCTCCCTACGGCAACACGGGCACACGCCCGGGGTTTTTTTTCGCGCCAAAGCAGAATTTACAGCCAATCAAAGCCGCGCGACGACAATGCCGTGCAGGCTAGCCAATCACGAGCGCGTGCACGTGCGTACCCACCCTGGCGGCTGCAGCACTGCCCCCTCCAGGAGAATTCGCGTACGCGTGTGCGTGCGTGCGACCGGATAGCGGAAACTAGTTCTCCGTGGATCACTGCTTGAGTTCACTTCATTTGCCCCACGGAAACGCCTGACGGAAGTACCTTCAGCGTGGAATTGCGGTAAGTTGGTCGAAATACCATTTCTTGCCAGTAACCAGTCAGGCTAATTAATTTGGAGAGTAAAGATCTTCTCCTGTGACCTTGAAAATTGCGGTTTATTGCTCAATCTAATAAGGTTGCTTCACATTTCTTTTACCAAACTCGTATGTCTGGCGTACTTCTTAATCGATTGAACTTATTTTGAATAGGCTACTTCGATTTTGGTGAAAACCACACCCAATACTCCGCAATTGCCAAATACCAAAAATCGGTATTGATTTTTAATATATCATCCATCATAACAGCGAAGGAACATCTTGTAACAGGTGGTCGTGTAGTGCACACCAAATTTAAATCCCGCTCCCTTGCGACGGAATTTTCACGAATTTGGAAAAAAATGTTTGCACGAAAGTATTTTGTTTTTTTTTAAACGTAAACAGAGCATGTTATTTAAGCAGCTTGTGCCAAATTAGCTGTGATGGAATGGGCAACTGGGTTGGGTTTAATGAGCCGTAATTCCAGAAATGTGGATGCTGACTTTTGTAGATGAAATGAGCAACCACTCCGATGTCAATGCTGATGTCTCATCGAAGAACTGGAGACGAGGTAAGCACCACCACCACTTCTACCTCCACCACCACCACCGACACCATCGCTACCACACCCACAACCAGCATTTCCACCAACGCCTCCGCCTTCACCAACGCCAGTTCACCACCACCATCGCCACCTCCATCTATGCATCCACATCCAACACCACCACAAGCACCACCACCACCACCTCCAACACAATCACTACCACACCCACAACCAGCATTTCCACCAACGCCTCCGCCTTCACCACCAGCTTCACCAACTGGGTTCTGTTGTAGGTCACTCGGGGGTCAACCAATTGGGTGGCGTGTTCATCAACGGCCGTCCGCTGCCCGACTCGACGCGTCAGCGGATAATCGAGCTGGCGCATTCAGGAGCTCGGCCCTGCGACATCTCGCGCATCCTCCAAGTCTCCAACGGCTGCGTCTCCAAAATCCTCTGTCGCTACTACGAGACGGGATCCATTAGACCCAAGACTATCGGCGGCAGTAAGCCACGAGTTGCCACGGACGCGGTTGTCGTGAAAATAGCCGCCTACAAACGCGAATGTCCCTCCATCTTTGCCTGGGAGATCCGTGACCGATTGCTTCAGGAGGGAGTCTGCTCTGAGACCAACATTCCCAGTGTAAAAAATAGATTTTGGTTGAGTTTTTTTGGTCTTAGGAAATAAGGCCCCATTCACCAACATTAATCCACCGATCAATACTTCACATTTTCGGCAACCTAAAGTTGGTCTAAGAGCCCGAGTGTGTAGGTCAATCGCTTACTCACGCAACTTGAAGTCGTAAATCGATAATTTATACACTCATGTCATTGGTTATGCCGAACAGCCATCTTCATTGGTTGCCAATTTGCAGAATGAAAGTGTTTGGCATAAAATTTCAGGTTTCATCAATTAACCGAGTGCTGCGTAATCTCTCAACTGAAAATGTCAACAACGTAAAACACCGCCACTTCAATTATCACACCGGAGATTGTCATGCGATTCCAGCAGCTGCGACGTTGACAGCAGCTGCAGCTGCCGCGGCAGCCGCCTCCACAAAGAGCGGCCTCACTCAGGAACCCCAAGTGCGCTTGCAGGACCCTCTTGTCACACCCCACCAGCACCCACCTCCCCGGCTTCATCCTCATCCGGCATCGCCGCCATCTTCCCCTCATTTTCCGCTTTCCACGTGGACGGGGACCTGGTATCAACCCGCACCTCCTTCAACTGTTATCCCGCCGAAATTTGGTGATTATCACAGCGGATACAGCAGTGCCGGTGTGGATTACTGTCCGGTTATTTGCGCAGACCCCCGAACCCACCACCACCACCACCAACTTCAGTGGCAGGAGAAATGGACCACCACGGATTGCGCGAAACTGGTCGGCAGTAAAGGTGAGAGCTGTGGCATTGCCAGAACGGATCAATAAAAAATAGGTGATAGATGAGACGAGAGTTTGCACGATCCGTAATTCCTCAAAATACCCTTTAGGCAAATCACCAGAGGAATATTTCGTTGTTGACAGTGCTTTACCGATGGACACGTGACTCACTAAGTCACTTCATTCGGATTGGTCGTGACGTCGTTGATCCTAATGCCAGGTTCTGATTGGCTGTGAAAATGGTGCAAGTTCAGTGGATCGGCGAAATCCACAAAAGGGAGGGGTTTTGAGCTGACTGTGTCGAAATGGAAGTGACAAAGTCGGATTGATCAGTTCGATGAAAACTTAACTGTAGCAAGATCTTTGAAACGTTGTCAAGGCTTGATGGTAGACGTCCAAGATCTGTGACTGGTTAGTTCACTTACTGCTTCACAACAGCGCCTCTGTCGACAGGAGAGGGAAATCCAAAAATATCACACCTTCACGGGAGACAATTTCGAGCACAGTTTGTAGATTTCGTTCAAAATTTTGCATAATTTCTCCCCACAGGTGATATTTGTCTAACCAGACAAAACTACCGTGGTTATCCGACAGACAGCCCACTAGCAACCAAGGACGAGGCGACTGTCCAGCAGCGATTCCGAGCTGCCTTCTCGGCTGAGCAGATCAAAGAATTAGAACGAGGTTTGTCCGATCTACTTGAACTTTTTCTGACATTTACATCGAAATGCCAACATTTTACATCACCAATTCCACACTAAAACTCCTGAAGGTCACTCAAAAACACCACAATCTCACAACCTCTGTCCGTGGTTTTCAGTGTAACTCTCTTTGCCGCTAGAATTCAAGAGGTCGCCTTACCCAGACATCGTGTCCCGCGAGAGGCTGGCCAATGACCTTCGAATGGCCGAGGCCCGAATTCAAGTTTGGTTCGCCAATAGGCGAGCTAAGTGGCGGCGAGATGAGCGTTGCCGATTGGAAGGTGGCGCCACAAGGTCACAATCATCCACATCATCTCAGGCCTACCGTCAACCAGAAGCGAGCAAATCTCCCGCATTGGTAATCGATTCCCGCAGATACGGTGGGTGCTCCTACGAATCGATTTTCAATTTGCATTGGTCTTATCGACTGATTTTCTTTTTGCACAAATCTGATTGGTCGTTTATGGGTCGACATTTTCGGACAATTCAGGATTAAACGAAGGGAGGCATTTCACACAAAACAAATTTTTATTTGGAATATGCACATCAAGAGCTATAAGTCATATTGTTGAGGATTCAGGCTGGTTCTAACCTCAACTATTCTTCAAAATATCAAGATTCGCGAAGCACATTGCCACAAGAAAACCAGTTTAAATTTCATGAAGCGTGCATTTCCAGTGAAATGTCTGTTGTTAAGCAACTGAACTCGACCAATTTTTCAGACCAGCTCCATGAGGTTCTACGTTATAGTCCATTAATGAGACTTGGACGCAGTTGAAGCCATGTGATGTTTAATCCGCTAGAGTTGCCTGTGTGTTGTGTTCGTCTCTGATTGGTCAAGTCTTCACCCTCAGTTAACCAATCAGGAGCGAGAAACACGTTGAAAAGGTCTATTGCAACTGCTTCCACGCGCTCTCCTTCTCTGTATAGTTAGGTAAACGACCGAGATGAGTTTTGTGTTAAAATGTAATCAAGAAGAAGCACATTAAATTTAAAACTGGTTTTCCACGACAGTTTGCTAGTTGTGTGAGTTTGTCAACTGTGGGGTCTGTTGATAGCCTCTACCTGCTACTCTCAGTTGGTCAATTCGGTTGGAACAACATCTAGAGAAAATGGCGGCTGAGGAAGGCTTTGCCAGCCGAAAGCCTCGATTGTAGAAGGCACCTTTCGCCTCCAGGGACAAATTCCCTCAGAATCAAAGCTCGTTCAGACCCCAGCGAAGGTGTTGCCTTCGTTGAATCACAGATTCAGGGCGTGGTCGTCAAGTTTAGAGTGACTTAGTTGGTGTCTCGGCTATCCAATCTGCCAGCACGAATTTCCTGTAGAACTGAGTGTGTCTTCCACATGTTACTTCCTCGTCTAGAACCTAAATCTCTGTTTCGAAACTGTTTTTTTTCCAGTGAAGACAAATTCTGCAACTCACTTTTTGCTCTAGAACCGACCAACTTAACGCCACGTATGCCACTACAGTGGCATTGTAAACCCGTTAAGATTTATAAATATTTAGGCCTTAAAGTGTGATACGAAACCTGTTACCATTTTTAAATCTCTGGAATGCTTCGTCGTCAAAAAAACACGAATTATAAGTTTCCGGTAATAGCGTCGTCGGAGCTGGCTTAATGTCTCAAAATTACTGAATGTTCGACAAGCCAATATTCCATTGGACACAAATAAACCAATCAGCAGGCTGCCCGTTATTGATTGGTTGAATGGTAAGGTTGCACACCTGTTATCTTTGGCTGATGGTGTTTTCAGTGCTTAGCCATGTTGAGAAGGTGGGGTTTTTGAAAATCTCCCGCCACAAAATAAATCACACATTCCATTTTGTTTACAGACGCAAATGGTTCAGTTTTCCCACCACTGAATGAATGCCTCTACAAATCCAACGGATCCGGCCAACTAACCAATCTCCAACCAGCCAATCTGACCACTCTAAACCGTCTTTTCGGGCCCTGGTCAGAGACCCATGAAGTACCACTGGCCCGATCGAATGACACTTCACTTGACCGACCCGTCTTCTAGTCAATTTCTTGAAAATTAGAAGAATTATTACACATTTCCTCCATGAATTCCGCCTTCCTGTTGTTGCAGAGGACTCCAACTGTTTCGCAACACTTGAATATTTCAACACAATGAAATACGAACCCTTTTTATATACGCCTACTTATGTTGCAAAAGTAGATATGTCTGAGCCGCCGCTTTTCTGAAAGTCAATTGAAGCGAAACACTAACATCATATCGCCTTCAAGACTCGACAAATAATTTGATATCATGTGACAAGTTTTTAATAGGTCAAGTTAAATTTAAACGTCTGCGCACTGCTAGATCTGCGTTTAACTGGTTCAAAGACAATTGCCTTAAATCTGATTTGTCTGTTTGGGATTAACGCCAACTAACGCATAATCCATTTTTGTTTAAATTCGGTGTGTCAGCGATAAATCAGGGCTTTAATTCTTTTTAGTGGAGCACAATAAAAGTAGCTAAGACCACATTGGTTAGTTTCGAAATGTACCAGAAATTTTTGTGTGCTTCTGGACAGCTGCAGACTAATCGATAAAATCGATTTAATGCTGAACTGGCGTTTTTTCACTGGGTTGTATTCGCGTCATGGGTAATTTTAACTTAAACAAAGTCGCAAAAACCCCCTTTTTCAAAACTTATTGTCGCTGTCAGGTAAAAAGAGACTAAATAAAATTTGATAGACGGAAAGAGGCTGACTCAGCAGTGAATTGATTTTCCTCTAACTGGAGATTCAAGCAACAAAGCTGATGTTGATTTGCAAATGCTTGGTAAGTTTTGTCTTCTGCGTCTGTTGAAATCTGGCGTCACTCACATTTCAGTCACCGACTAGGAAGGGCGCGTAATCTTTGTTGCGACACACAGGGATAGATAAATTCACTCCGAATCTCCAACCGCCCTTCACAGCGGTGTACCAGTATAAACGACGGCCAAGGTTTCCAGTGACTACTGTAGAATACCCGAGCCCTAATAGGTAAAAGACCGGTATAACAGAACAGGCTTTATTGACCAATCAGACGCCAGAGCCACGCGTCAGGCGCCTTCCATCCGAGTCCACAACGCTGGCCACGCCGCTCATTATATACTGCATCTCATCCATGTCCTTCTCTGGTTGGCTGCCTTCCTTTCCCGCATGCCAGTGGATCGCAGAGAGACACGAGATTGGCTGAGGCCAGGTGGTCCAACATGTCTGCGCCCTAATCCAACGCCACACTACGTCTATGCTTCAGGTCGTGACTAGAGACACCAATACTCAGCAACTATTAGGCATACGTTGACATCTTTCAACACGAATACATCGTCGTACCTGATGTTGCATCAAAAGACACTGCTGTGGATGTCAAAAATCGGCACCTGATTCAAAACCCAATCTGCAATGACTCAGTTCGAACGTTTGGGTCTTGCTGACGTCTCAATCAGTTGCATACGCAAATATCCGTTGTCTCCGATTAACACCAATTCGACCAGCAAAGAGGAGGCTGTCACTGTTGCCGTATCCGTCAACAACATCGCCACACAGCAGATATCGATGATAGTTGTCCCTTTTTCAACAAGTGATACTACACTGCCTCAGGCCATCCGCTGGGTTGTATGCGAACGGCGAAAGTGATTCTTTACTGGAAACTGTTGTTAGATGTTCCAGTGACGCGAACAATGCAACAAGTTATCTACCGCGTCAAAAGCTTCTCCAAAGAGTATCTTAGGATACTTGGACCGGCTAATACGGTCGCTTTATCCTCCGACGCAGCGTTCTTCAATACGAAGCATATGGGCAGCCACGCGGATCCTCAACTCCCCCCTCATTCACGCGAATATTTATCTTGGATTATCCTCACACCTAGGTCTCGATGTCAGCGCATCTATGACTCACACATCCGAGGCATAAATACACACGCGCAAACCCCACACACGACACAACGACACAAAGGTGGTTGAGCTCTGAAGTAAACGGTTGTGTCCACGTCCTCTCCGATCGTTTTCTTCATCGCGGATATCGAGAAAGTGTAACTGAGCCAGGGTTAATTCCGTGGCCCTGGCGTGGTTCAAGACCACATGCTGGCGCCCACAACAAGGTTAGACGTTGACTTGGTGGTGCGTGGTGTCCATACAGGTTTGGACCTTTATTTACTGCAAGTTCGCAGGAGGTATTAATTTGGCTTAAATATGGCTAAGAATGTTTAAATGAATTCACCCGCGTCAACGAGGACAAACCCAGCCATGCCTCAAACATAGCATCACTTCAAACAAGCTTTGTTGGCAACACGTATTTGCTACCCTGCCATCCACAGTTAAATGGACCAGCGGCAAATTTGATACTCTGATGTAAGCATTGCCCTCCAACGACAGGCCTACGCTGCGACGACGTTGGCAGAGGTCATTACTTAAGGTCGATCAAACGAAGCTGGGTTATTAACTATTTACGAAAGAGCGAGGTGATGGAAATGTCAAAATTCCCAAAGACCAATTAATTCATTTAACATTGTTACTTTAGAAATTTATTCGCTAGACTCTGAAGACACGATTGATAATCTACATAGATGGTGACACTGATAACTAACTCATTCATAACCAATTCTTAAGCCACCGTCTTAGCACGTTTAAGTGGGCTCAACGGATCATGTACTCGAATTTTGACATCTTCGCCAAAATTTGGGTGACAAAGCCGATACTCTTTTCACTTGTTTTAATCTGTGTCCTGTTATAAAAAGTCTTTGTGGCGTCAGAAATGCGATTGGACTATTTTTTGAACGAGGCACGTAATATGTGTACTGGTACACCATAACAAACACCCAAATATGGAGTGCACATTTTGCTTTAAAAACGTTATTAATTGTATGTAATAACGGCTAAAGTCCAATAGCAAAAAAGTTTTCAAACTGAAACCAAATAAAGGACATCGCAGTTTTATAAAAAAGAATTTTACGTCAAAACTTCATATTTTAAAGCTTACGTTTGTTGATTCTGAAGACGAGTTTTGATTGTGGAAAAGTCGCAATGAATGGCACAATGCTACAAAAGCGCCAACACTTAAACCCAAAGCAATCTTAAAAATAGCAATCTGTGGATGCAGAGAAGTACCAAAATTACGGAAAAAGTGATCGCCAGAGGCAAATACAAGACTAAAGCACTTGTAAGGGGATCGTTAAAATTTGAGAATCATTTGAAACTGTTTCAAATGGAAAAAAAATTAAATAAAAGGTATTATATTTACCTGTACGTAAAGGCCTTCTAAGTAAACAGGAAAATTTTGTTATCTACTAAACCAAACTCTAATGTTTTCTCAGCTATGAATGGTAGATCAGATTCCAAAAGATGCCTTACTTAATTGCTATTTGTTGACTCCGATTATGTTTGTATGAAACAAATACAAGAAACATAGTGCTCTCAGAAAATAATGCACGAGTAATCGTTTTCCCTTTAGTAATGTAAATTAATTGTCACTACTAATGGGGTATGTTATATGTCGACATATTGAATGCAATGCAAGAACAAGAAGAATTTGAGCTGCCTAAAATACAATGTTTTTGGAAACCCGAGACTTTTCAACATTTTTATCTTCACTATCAGTTTCTAAAATTGCGATGGAAAACAACTAGATCTATTTAAAGGGCTGCAACAAAATTACCCCATAACACAAATAATGTAGGTGTAGCCAAAATTTAAAAAAAAGGTAAATTTAAAAACAATGAATATTTTATAACCTTAGTAGAGAAGCCTTGTAACATTAATGGTAATGATTGTTTTTGTGGCTGTTAACTGCTGCGCGTATTTTGAAACAAGTTTGATAGTGTTTTATTTTCGTGCTATGGAGCTGAGCATTTCGTGCCATGTTACGTTAAATTAGCTATTAATCGAATCAAAACATTTCCACAAAACGAAATGGCTTTTTAGCTTGCTGTTTTTGGAGTGTTTATATAATGAACCGCTCGAAATCTCGTAGTAAACGCACAAAAAACCCTATTGTCAGAAGTCGTAGGTTACGAAGTGACTTGGATTTTAACAATGACAATGCCATGCTGTCTATTTCTCATCCAAATGGAGAAGAATCTCCGCTGACTGAACAGAAATTGGCGTCTGTTGATGACGACTCAGAGATGTTGTCTGATTCAACATCCGACATTTTATCCGTTGACGATGTCCAAAATATCCGAATCCTGAACGGATTTTCACTAAGCCAGTACAAGCACTTACGAAAGTATAAAAGACCTAAGGGTCTACCAAATGAGGACACTTTTGTCGACGGTCGATCCTCTGCCAGCGACAAGTCATCCAAATCACGCAGGAATACTTCAACCTCTTCCCATTCGACGGATGTTATGTTGGATTTACCAAAGTCAAAGGAGGATGTGGTGCCAGATGTCAAGCTGCCAAACTTTGAGGAAACTATTATCGAGGGGTTTTCTATTATGGCCTTTCAAACATCGGAGGAAATGGAGGTAAGTTGCCGTTATGTTATGTCATCTGCTTGTCTACGCTAACAGCAACCACTTTTTTCTAGTTTTTATGTCTGTTCATCTTATATTAATTGAAACGCCCATATTTTTTTGCCACTTACCAAATCCCTAACTGCCGTAGACATCTAACGAGGCCTCTTTTCTACTTCTGACATGCTATTTGTGTGCCACCTAACATCATGTCTAATAGTTTTACTATTGTAACCTTCTTATGATGTATGTCTCTTTGGGATTGCTATCCACCGTATTCCGTATTTAATACCATCTCGTAAAGTCGTGATGTGCGCCCATAATCACGAGCTATCATTTCAGGAACACCGGGTGGGTCTTAGGTCATTTACATAGCGAAAAACTTTGCTTCTCCCCATTTGCATCACGCAAAAGCTTTTATATAATCGTGAAAATGGTGTTCTTAACTTGGCGTCAACTGTCTAACCTCATAATCAACTTGAACTCTGCCTTTACCAAGTAATTATCTGATCTGCTTGTCTGTCATTTGTTTTGGCATCGCCGGCAGATTTTATGATGGAAGTTCACGTGACTCCCACCTTGCATATTTACCCACACCGGGGCTGCAACTCGTTACGATTATTTATCTGCTTGATGCAGAAAGTAGGTGGGTGGTTCTCTGCTAATAACCCGTCTCGTTTGAAATCCCCTACCTCCCAAGCATCCGCCTCCGTTTTCTGCCGTTTTTTTCCTACTACTGTTACTACGTCAGCTCAGTTTTAAGCATGGTGCTAAGGGTCAACTTCCCTGTCGTGGTAACTTCCACCTGTGCAAGTAAATAGCCTTATGCGGGTGCCTGAGGAAATGCGAAAGTTCTCATCACAAATATTCCATCGTTCAAATGTCGTTTTTTGCCTTTTTGTGCGATTATTACTGAAGGTGCGAATTTCACTCAAACACGACTTTTCAGTGAGTCGAGATAAACGACTTTGACTTGCTCCTGAAACCACGATTGCTCTACTCTTTTCCTTCATCCCTTTTTTCGTCCTAAGCAGAGTTTACTGCCACATGACAGTGACAAAAGGTTGGCGAAAGGATGCGTTTGTGGCGAAGGTTTTACGAGACACAAACTGGCCCTGTCGAATGCTTAAAATAAAAATAATTTTTTTGGTTTAAAATGAAGCCTTTTGTTAAGGCCTAATTGCGTCATTGCAGTAACCAAAAGCGGTTAAACAAGACGGGCTGCTGTTTCCAAGGATTAATTCAGTTTCCCCGTATTCTCTTCTAACTAATTTCACATTTGTTAGGAGTTAACCGCATGGTAGCGCCAATCTTGCTTCCATATCCCAAAAATGCAATTTTAAGGGCATCTTTGCCTGCCCTCTGTTGATGTACATCACGAGACTGTGGCAGTTAATTTTTGATGAGAGGGGCAGGAAAGGCAAACCTCCATTTGACAATCGATTATTCGGTCAGTGGGAGGTGCCATGTGTTTCTTCGAGGTATTCATTACTTGCGACTACACCAATTCATTAATTGTGGAGGCATGGCCATAACAGCGGCGTGACTGACGCCTGGTTGCTGTCTGCAGGCGCGTGCAGCCTCTCCCCGCCTCCCTTCCTCCCTCCCGCCCTCTCTGCCTACCCCCGCCTCCTCTCCCCCTCACATACGCGTCACCCCCACCTCCCCCCGCCAGTGAGTCACAGCACAAACTCTTGAAGACAAACCTCTCTCTCACTCTCTCTCTATAGCGCGAAATATGCTGCCTGGGCACTAGCACGCGTCACAATAATAATCGAGTCGGGCTGGTTTTTGATCACCTCACCACAAAGACGTCACACAAACCGGGTGTGATGTGTCACGGCATAAACTACGTGACCTAGCGTTCATTTGAGCACGACGGCTGGCGTGTTGAACTGGGTCATGAATCTTCACGCAGGAAGTTGTTGCAGTTTGGAATCTCGGTGAATCGTCGATGACCTTAGACGTCTTCGTCACGGGTGGTGGTAGTGCTCCTGTCACACTATTTCGCTGGACCTCCTTTCGTGTTTGAAGTGGATAACATGGAGCGGAGGGGGGAGGGGGTCGTGATTAACTTGCACACCAAATGCCATCGTGTCTCCATTTTTCACTGTTGTTCAGCCACGACGACAGCTGATTTCCACTCAAAGCCACGATGAGCTGATGCGATGCGCGCTTCCGTGGTTATTCTAGTCAACTTTTTCAGCGCTATCCGCACGGCAGTGACTTTGTTCATCATCACGGTCTTCCTCCTTCTCTCTCTCTCTCTCTCTCTTTTTTGCTTCAGCTATCCAGGGACGTGGCGATTTAAGCTGATTTAAATTTCTGTGCTTTACCAGCGGTGTGTGTGCGTGTGTGTGTGGTCTGCGTAAACATATGCCTCCTTGTTCAAAACTGCCTTACCCCCTTAGCGATGTTGTGTGTGTTAAGCGGCACCAAATAGTGAGCTTTCTTCTCTATCTTTTGCCGCTTCACAATCTACCGCTTCTTTAATGGATGCGTGTCAACATTTTTGTACCTCCACAGAACAGACCCCGAGCTTGCCACATGAAGCACAGCCTAGCTCAGACGAGGGTTTCACTCCAGCACAACCGACAGCACTCGTAGGAACTTAAGCCAGGCCCGCGCGCGTGTGTGTGTGTGCCTCCGTGCATTGTTGCAGCTTCTTGAAAAACACCAATTTTAGCGCACCGCAAGTACTCCTAGTTGAGTGAACTTTTACCACGCACACACACACAAGCAAGTTTCGCTAAATTCCCACACCCCGCTCTCGAAATGCCACACTTGGATGAGTCTATTTTTAATGTAGACACCGCCTGCCAACTTGGTTGCGTGTGCAATCAGTGCTTTGATATCACGTGACTGCATTATTCTAACTTTTACCGTCGCAACTCCTCACCAGGGTAAAAGAGGCCCTTAGACGTGATGACGAGGGATGACAATTAGGTAGGGGGGGGGGGGTTGGGGGGGCTTTCCTTCGATTCGACAACGGGGAACGCTTAGATGTGTGTCGCTCACGGAAGACATTACTGGTGTGTTCGTTTGTCCCACTGACTTCAGAAATGGCGTGTAACCTTGACCCCCTATAGCGTGATCCTAGTAAATCCTGTCCACTCAAAATGACTTCGCTTATTTACACACACACACACACACACACACACAACTCTTAGTTGCCATAGAGCGGTTCCGTCGCCTCGCCTGTGCGGTTTTTCACATTCGGTTCGGCCCCACCCTGTCATTGTGTTGGTGTGCGCGCCCCCGTCTCATTTGGGGATGTCAGTCCCCTGTCAAGAGTGTGATGTCGGTGTGTGTGTGTGTGTGTGTTTGCGTGGGAAAATTTCTCCATCTCAATCTGCTCCACTCACCCGTCGCCCCCCCCCACCCCCAACCCATTCCACCTGCTTCACCCACCCTCGTCTAATCAGGACGCAGTCGAGTGTGTTTGGACGTTGACGGCTATCACAGCGAGGCATCAGTTCATTCCAAATGCCACTGCAAATTCACACAAGTCCTTGGGATGACAGGTTACCTTGTTCCACCGCCGCCGCTGCCGCCGCCTCGACTGTGCATTAGTCCTTCCGCCTAGTTGATGATTTATCGCCGTAATCGCGGTTTTTTTGCACAAAATTTACCCTTGCGTTAAGAGGAGGGCTGTGTGCTTGCTTGCACCGCGGCACGACCACGACGTCTTCGAAACAGGAGAAATTGTCAATTGAGAGAGCTTTTCGAGGCCAGTAGCTTCACCCCCTGCGCTTCCCTTAAGTGCCGCGCCACTCCATCTTCATTGATTAGGCATTAAGGCAGGGCACACTGGGACCATGGTGCATACTCCTCACCTTAAACCGAGTGATTAACTTGTGGCCGTGTGGCGCAGATTCGGAGGCTTGTCGCGTGTGCCCGCCAGCCATGACACCCAACCCCCGCCTACCCTTCCCTCCCCCTTCCGCCAGCGACGACGACGGCGGCGGCCATCTTTTTGTGTGTTTATCGCTGTGGCACGTTAATAATACTCTCGTACTTGTGTGTGTGTGTGTGTGTGTGTGGAATGTGCCCAGCTTCGCCGCGTCTGCCTGGAAGAGGGGATGTGGGGATATGGGATGACCTCGATTAGCATTCGCCAGGGTTTATGCTTGTACAATCACCATGGTGTCTGGCTTCACGTGTCGTCTCCCAGCAGTCTTCTTTGTGGAAGATCTTCCAGCCAACCAGGAAAGGGGGAAGTGTTCGGTGACCTTCTAGGTGTTGTTGCCACCCTCTTCTTAGTCAATCAAACCAGCACCGGCGTATTGATTGGTACTCTGTGGTCACTTCAGATGTGCTTGTAAGATCACGATGGTGTCTGGCTACACGTGTCGTCTCCCGGCAGCTTTCTTTGTGGAAGACCTTCCAGCCAACCAGGAAAGGGGGAAGTGTTCGGTGACCTTCTAGGTGTTGTTGCCACTCTCTGCTTAGTCAATCAAACCAGTACCAGCGTGTTGATTGGTGCTCTGCGGTCCTGGTCTTCAACAAATTCGAGGGTGGCTCGTTTACCTGTATGGGTTCGGTTTTGCATTTGTTTGTTTCTTTGTTTGTTTGTCTGGCTGTCTCAGAGGTGAAGCAGCCTGGGGGTGTATTTCCTTTGCACGCGCGTCTCACCCGCCTGGTCTGTAGTAGCACAACTTCGCCGCGCCACGAATCGCTAGTAATGCACACGCGAGTTGATTAATTGCCAAGCGCAGAGCTACTGTGTGTGCGTGTGTGCGGGCACGTATATCTCATGATTCCTTAATTAAACGCTCGTTTATCTGACCTGCGCAATCTCCCAGACCACATCTCTCCCCTTTGCCTGCCGTCGCATCCCCCCCCATTGTTGTTTCTCATTGCAACTTCCTCGACTAAATCCACCGTGACGACGGTTGGTTGTTCCGTCTCTCTCTTTTTCCCCCCCGAAAGAAAGCATCACAATTTTACGTCGACTAGTGAGTAATTCGTCAAGCTGGCGCTTGCACATGTTTCCGTCCTTAAGTCTGATTGTCTTTGGTTGCCATGGTGATCTCATTCTGCCTTCGCTCGTGCAGTGTAGCGTTTGAGGTTCGCAGCGCTCCCGCTTATCGTGTTTAAGGCTTGGTTGCACCTCTTTTTGCCCAAATCTCTACTCCCTTGCGTCTGGCGTAGCGGAGACGGTGTGTTTTCGCACGCACGCACGTGTGTGTGTGTGATAGTCACGAGACAATTATCAGATTGACAGTGTGTTAATTATCGCCCGCTGTTTAGTCGTTCCAACTCATCAACCTACCTCCGCAATCCAGCGGCTGTGCCGTTCTTCCGATAACAGCTCTTGGGGAACGTGTGGATGTTTTCGTGTCGTTATTTAGTCCTTTCCACAACCTAGTTTTCCAGTAACGTGGAGGTGGCGCGGGAATTAGAATCTTGGGCATTACCCTTGTCCCCGCGTTGTTTCACCTCGTAAATTATGCATCCGAGCGGAGTACGCCAGCTTGCACATGCACTGGCTTTATTTTGCTTCTGGCAGGCTAAAACGCACGCCTCTCTTTGTTGTCTGGCAAATTAGAGGTTCCGTCTTTTCTCAAAGTCCGCCTTTTTTTTCCAGTGCTGTGGGAAGCAAGAGAGCGCCGCATCGATCGCAGATGCCTCTGAAATGGAGTGTCTTGCCCCCTTTCTCTCTCTTTCTCCCTCCCTGTGTGTTGTGGTTGTGCCTGGCATTTCTCCTTGTTGTGGGCGAAGAAGCGCACAAACCTGAAAAAAAAAGCTACTCCCGTTTTTTCCGCCCTGTGTTTACCTTATCGTCAACACAGTGCATTCTGTCTGGCACTGCGTCAGCGCCGTCTTCGTAGCATCTTTTATCATCTTCCAGCCTCCCACAGACCTCGACTCCAACGTCGAGCACTCGTCAGCAGTGCACGAGGGTGTGTGTGCGTGTGCGGCTTGGTTATCGCAAGTCAAACCGCGCCTGCATTAGTTAAGTGCTATGTGAGCAACAACACGTCATGTTCGACTTCCTTTTCTGGAAAACGCGTCTCTCTGCTTGTGTGTTTATGCGCTTCAACGACCACCGCCACCACCGCCTTACTCCGTAACCGCCACCGCCACCACCACCACCATCATCGTCGGTGATTCATCTCTGCGCGCATGCCAGGCACTAACGCCACTCCTCGTTATTGCCACTGCGTTTGCGTGCGTACCGGGGTGTTGTCTGCTTAAGCTCCACTTATTACCCCCGTGAAATCGTCAATTTTCGACGAGCTGAAAAGCCATCTCGACAGTGCTCATTAGCGCACACCCCCGATTGACACGGATCTACCGATTTCACGCCTTTTTTATCACAGTTTTAACTTATCACTTCCCCCTCGTCGTGTTTAATTCACACATTGTCGTGTCTAGCAAAGATCAACAGCGTGATTCAAGTCGCGTTGCCTAAGCAACGGACGTGCCTTGAAACATCTCCACTTACATTGGCTTCAAAGTAGACCCATTGGCGTGTCAACATAATTTCGCGGTGTCGGCTTGCGTTTCATTTCCACAATTCCACTTGCCGACCTCAGTCGTCGTCGTCGTCATCAATCTTGCCTGGCGTCGGTCACACTTTGCACTTTTGTCGAACGTCTACACGCCTCGCACAACACAACCACTAATGTTGGTATTTTATGGTGATGCGTTGTGACGTGGCGCGTAGAGCGGGAAGCGTGGCGTAGCGCGTTTGTGTTCTTTGTCGGGAAACAGCACATGTTGGTGCCGACGGGGTGTCTGTCTGTAAACTGCGCCCAGTTGTCGTAAAATTTGTGTTGTACGCGTAAATCGGTGATACCTGTAATCGGAACTTCGGCTCCGCCATCATCACCCCTCCTAACTAGCGGCTCTCTTTTGCCGACGGTTTGGGTACCTCTTGGATGCGACGGCGTGGTGAGCGATTCCACCACCACCACCACCACCACCACCACCACCACCACCACCACCACCACCACCACCACCACCACCACCACCACCACCA